CTACAAAGCTCTTGGGTCTTCCCAGCCTCCACGTCCACACTCAGTCCTTGTCACCCACTCATACTTGTTTTCTCCTCTCTGCCTCGTTTGACAGGGTCAACTCAATGGTCACCAGCCCCAGCCCAGAAAAAGACTGTGCACCATAAGCCAGGTACCATAGCTCGCTTCTGCAGATGTCACCACACACGCCATGGTGAGGAAGTACCCATGCTGCACAGACTTGTCTGTGACAGTCATGGACAGGGAGCGCTTGACCACACTCAAATGAAAGCACAGTAAGACAGTTTTCTACTACCAGACCAATATGTTTTCACAAGTCTCAAGACACTGGCATGGTGAGGAAGCAGGCACTCAGTGGGAATGTAACCTGGCACAGATTCAGAGAACTGAGCGACCTGTTCAGCAGGCATATGCAGCAAGTGACACACAGAGCTACTCAAGGAGTGGACACACCACAGAGGGGGCGTCCAAAAGATGGCTCAGCAGTTAAGAGCTTCTTAACACAAGTACATAGTACACAAACACACAGAACCACCACCACCAAAAACAGATAAATAAAAAAAAGAAGAAGAAGAAGAACACTTGCTGCTCTCACAGAGGAGCTAGGTTCAGTTCCCAGCACCCACATGGTGGCTCACAGTCATCTGTAACTCCAGTTCCAGGAGAGCTGATGCCCTCTTCTGGCCTCTCTGGGTACTGTACACACGGTGCACATACATACACACGAGCAGAACACTCATGCATTAAAGGAAACAGATAAATCTTCAAAATGAGAGAAGGACATGTAATGCTTGCTTGTTCCGGAAGATACAAGGTTGGTTCCCAGCATCCACACTGGACACTTGACAGAGTGCCTGTAGCTCCAACTCCAGGGGATCTGGCACCCTCTTCTGGCTCAGCGGTTAATTGTCTTACATGCATACGCTCCTCCACTCAGCACACACACATACACACATATGCACATATACAGGCACGAATACACACACAATACATTTAGAAATAAAATAAATGTTTGTTTGTGAGTTTATTTTGAGACAGAGTCTCTCTACAGAGCCCTGGCTGTCCTGGAACTTCCTATGTAGACCAGACTGGTCTTGAACTCAAAGAGATCCACCTGATTAAAAATAAATCTTAAAGACAGAGAGACACAAAAAGACAGAGACAGACAGAGAGAGGTGTGGTGACACACGCATTGCTTCCCAGCACTCTGGACCAGAATGCTCTCGATGCCCTCTTCTGCTGCCCTCTCAGGCAGAGCTCTGAGTTTGAGGCCAGCCTGATCTACACAGAGAGTTCTAGGACATCCATGGCTACCCTGTCCTGAAAAAACACACAAGCCCACCCTCAAAAAGCAGAAGGTATGAAGGACCTGCCTGTCACCTGATGAGTCAGACCTCTGTCACAGCACTGTGCGTCTTTGAATCAGAAAGGAACTCTTTATTATTGACAGGAAGACACTAGGGGAAAACATGGTGTTTAGACAATGTCATGTCATAACAGGGAAAGATATACATATGTGTTTGGTGCACACAAGAATACATAAAACCATACTGATTCATCAGTAGCCTCCAGGAATGAGGCCTGAGAGCCTGGGGTGTGGGAGGAAAGATATTGATTATATCTTTTGCTGCCTTTTGAAGTTTATGCCATTTACACATATTATCTATTCACAACTAAACAAAATAACTTCTAACAAAAAAGAAAGGAACAATGAGGTAAACAAAATGGAGGTGACCTAAGGCTGTAAGCAGCAAGAGGGGAAATACCTTGAGTTTGTTTCCAGGGCCAGAAGGGTCCATGACAGACACGCACCTGCAGGCCGATTCCTCCACGACTTGCAGCTGGGCAGTGGAAGCTGCTGTTCAGAGACTCAGGCACTCGCTTCCGGGTGAGCCTGAGTGAAAAGGAAGAATGATAAAGCTGTCATGGGGAAAATTCAGTGGTGGCAATGAATGGTAAGGCTCAGCCTCTTCTTGTTCCTACAAAGACACTGGGGAGAGCCCGTGAGGACCCTGGTGGCACCCCGGACATGCCTCTGGGTGGGAGATGTCACTCAGTGGCAGAGTGTGCCCAGCGTGTACAACGCCCTGGGCACCGTCCCCAGCTCCAGACAACAAAGGGAAATTACGTAATGTGTTTGGAGACCCTCAAGGTAATGCTGGGACCCTCAAGATAAGAGTATGGTGATTCCCAAAGGTATGGGAAGGCTCATCATCTCCAGCCACCCCTTTCCTGGGATAATCCTGATTTGGGGGTGGCAGAAATGCCCCAACAATGCCCCCCCCCCCAGCCTGGTATAATCTGGCTTTACAAAGGGCCAAGGCTCCTTACAACTGACACTACAGTGGCCTCTGCAGAGATGTGACAGGAGGGCCAAGAGCCTCAGGGCCAAGCAGGACTGACACTTGGGCCTCTTAGGCTGGCTCACCAAGCCTCATCTCACTTGCCCTCCTCCTCTTCTGCTTACTCACCTCTTCCAAAGCCTCCCTGGCCAGCCCCACCCCACTGGATCTCAGCAGAGGCTTCAGGCCTCAGGCCAGCTCTCCACTCACACCCTTCTCCTTTCTCTTGGTCAAAGGAGGTAGGACAGGTTCCTGTGTGTTTATCCATCTCCCTGGCAACGACGGCCTTCACAGGAGGCTGTCATCTGGGTATCAGTAGGCTTGTGTCTCCCGCCTCTCCTCAGGTACAGGTATGTTCTGGCTCTCTGAGGCTGGGACCAATTTCCCCCAGTTCCTGAGTGGAGAGCTGCTGCCACCCCCTACCCCCAGCATAAATCCTAACTGGCAAATGCCAAAGTCTGTGTGAAAGCGACTGAGAGAAGTCACGTTTCTCATACACCCTCTAACCAGAATTCTCAGTCCTGCCCATGGTCCCCTGCCTACCCAACTCCCTCTGAACAGCATCCCAAGCCCTCGTCAAGCCTGAGTCGTAGCATCCTCCTCGACCCTCCCACCCTCTTCTGCATAGTCCAGGGGCACACACACTCCTCCTTCGACCAAGAGTGTGCTCGTATTTGCTGTTCCCTTTCCACAAAGGTGACTGCATTTTGTGCCCTGCTCAACAACATTCTTTCGGGGGGAGCATCTCCTGCGGTAATTCCTGCTGCCCTACTTTGTGGCAAGTGCTGACTTTATCTGTCCTGCCACAGTCATCCCGAACTCTGCCCCAGAAGGCAGCTGCTCTTCTGGCCTGTATCAACAGGTCTCAGGTCCCTCGTCACAGATTCCGAAAGAAGTGGGGTGAGAAGCAAGACATTCTGTTCTCGGGCTAGTTCCTCCCCACAGGCCCGCAGTCCTGCTTGGCCTCTGTGAGGGCTCTGGCAGCTGCCTGCTCCCCGTGTTACTAGCCCAAGCTTTGCACGCTACCCTTTGCGGCTCTTATGTTGTTTGTCTCTCCTGTCCTCAAAATGTCCAGCACCATCAACAGTGCTGCTTTCAAGGCTCTAACGGCACCATGGGACTGACAGCCCATGTGTGTTGTGGGCTGTCCACCGTGGGAAACACCGTAAGGAAGGCAGGGACCAACATCCGCTCTGTGTTGTCAGTGCCTGTATCCACATGGTCACCCTTGAAAGCTCGATGGTTGGTTGTCAGATGACTGACTGGGAGAAGCTGAGGGGCTGGAAAGAGGCAGATGTCAGGGAGCCACATGATCCACTCACTGTCCTAGCTGCATGTGTGAAGGGGCGTGTGTGTGTGTGTGTGTGTGTAGGGGAGATGTGGCATGTGTGTGTGTGTGTGGGGGGTCTATGTATTCCAGAATGGCCTGCTAGGCATGCACCTCTGACTTAAGCCATCCAACACTGGGACCACGTCCAATTTCTCTTCCCACTAGTGAGCCAGTCAGTATGTGGAAGTGCAATGGAATCACCTGAGTAGAGGGCAGTGGCCTGTGCATTAGAGGGACAGAGTCGCAACCCGAGAAACCACACACACACACACGAACGGAAAAACAAACCAAACAATTACAACTGAGTAAATCTCTTGACTTCAAGGCCAGCCTAGACCATATAGCAAGATCCAGGCCAACCGGGGCTACACATTGAGACCCCGTCTCCAAAGGGGTGGGGGGCATCCAGAGATGGCTCAGGGGTTAAGAGTGACTACTGTTCTTCCCAAGACTCTTAGATGGGCTCTGAGCACCTATATTTGGCAGCTCACAATTTCTGCTAAGTCCAAGGACCCAGTGCCCTCTTCTAGCCTCCAAGGGAACCTGCCCTTTGATCCCAGCATTTGGGAGGCAAAGGTAAGCAGATCTCTGTGAGTCTGGAGCCAGCTTGATCTAGTTAGGAGTTCCAGGCCAGCCAGGGATACATAGTGAGTTTCCCTCTTTCACACACACACACACACACACTGTGGAGGGAAACAGAAAACAGATACCTAAGAACTGACAAGATGTTAGGTACTGGAGTTACGTAAAGGACATACACTTTTGTGCTTGAAATTTCTAATATAAACTCGGCCTGATCACAGATACCTAGGAAGCTTGAGGCAAGACTGAAGTAGCCTGGGTTACAGAGGAAGTCCAAAACAACCCTGGTCACTTAAAGAAAATCAGAACGGCCTAAAAACTTGGGGCTGGGGAGATGGCTCAGTGGTTTGAAGCACTGGCTCTTAGAGAGGCCCAGCCCCCACATAGCGGCTAGCAACCATGCCTAACTCTAGGGTATGTAACGTCTTCTTCTGACCTCTGAGGGAACTGAGCACATACATACTTGCATGTGGATAAAACATCCACACACACAATTTTTTAAATCTTAAAAGAAAACAGAAAACAACTTGTTCTGGTTTTGAGGTTGGGGCTTGCTGGGTAATCCAGGCTGGCCTTGAACTCAGGATCCCAGATGCTGGGACTGCAGGTGCGCCACTACTACTCAGCATCCAGAGCACACAAATAAAGCCACCGTAAAAGCTGTGGCAGTGCTTATTTGCCTACCGTCTGAAGGGCCTTATTCTCAATCCACTTACAGTTTTTATTATGAATTTTTATGACAGGACTTTCATATCTCGCACTTTATTTTTCTGCCAAGACTCCCTCAATTTATAAAAAATAAAAATATAATATACATATGGACACATACATTAAGAATAATATACTTCAACACATCATTCAGGTCATCTCTCTACCAAGGGAAATTACAGTGGTACAGTTCTGAGGTCAAGGGCAGCCAGAGTCCCTTCCCAACCCACTTTGTACAACACATTCAACGGGTATTGGCTTCAGACGGTGATAATGGGGAAGTACAGATATGCTAAGTAGACTCATCAGGAACATGTGTGTGATACATGTTGACTGGATTTCAACTGATTGGGCCATGAGTTGCCAATTTTATCACAGGTTCTAAGAATCCACAGGTCACTCTTCCTGTTCTGACCTGGAAGTTTTGAGTCACAAATATTCCTGTTTGGTCCAGAGCTGAGGAAACTCATTTTCTATTTCTTGTCCTTTCTTTAATTCCAGACACAGAGCTCTTTTCCTCCAGCCAAAGGGACCAAACCTGGAGATCAGCAGGGAAGGGGGAGCCTCCCAGCCAACCTCCTGGAAGTCAGGCATGGTGGCTCACTCCTGTAATTGCATCTTGTGGCAGGAGGACCACCAAGCCTGGGATACACAGTGATTTCTGGGATAGCTTGGGCTAAGAGTGAGATCCTGTCTCAAAAACAGAGGGAGAGAGGGGAGGAGGAAGAGGAAAAGCAGCAGCCAGGGTGGAGTTGGGGGAGGGGGGGGAAGAGTAAACATGAATTCCAAGCCAAGGAATAACTTAGCCACTTCCTGTCAATTTCCGTGAGTCCCTGCCATTCCTCCTTGGAGGCCTGTTTTGTGGTTAGTGGGGAAAGTGTGGGATTGGGTCTTCTCTCCAGGAGTGGGAGATGGGCGGACTCAGACTTGCTTCTTGACACAGGGCTCACCAGGGTCCTCTTGGCCCCTCCCTCCAGCAGGTGGGCAGTTGGCTTTCTATCTCCAGCTATACTAAGAGGCTGTACTAAGCCCTCCCCTACCGCCTACCTATTAAGTCCTCTTCCTGGCACTTAAAATCCAGGCTCCTCTCTAAGTCCACAGACAACTAACTATGTCCCAGGCTCTGCTCAGATCAGCTGAGAAGGGTGTTGGAGCACACATTCCAAGGGAATGGCCTGGTGTGGTCAGCTTTAATCAAATGGTCAGAGATTCAAGGCTACTGTGATGGTAGCCTCGTCCATATTAAGACTGCAGCCTCAGATCAAAGCTGCAGTGTGGGCCCGTTTCCAACATGATGAGAGATACAACATCATGTTCCATCAGCTCAGTAGGGATCTTGGGGCCCAGGTGAAGAGTGAAGTGAGAATGAGGTGCTGGGTTAGTAAATCAGCGCCATAATTCTTGTGGGTCATTCAAGTGGTCTGGAAGGTACACTTGGCAGTCTTCTCATCAGGGTACGGTGCAATGGACTTTTTCTTTCTGTCACTTTCCCTGGCCCTCCAGGTTTCCAAGGAATCAAGTCCTGCGAATAATCAATGAAGAAGGCAGAAGTCCCCTGCCCTGTTTGCGACAGTATGGCCCAAAAGATGGAGTAGTTTTTGCTGTACCATGGCCTCCTCCTCAACCCACACATCCAAGCAAAACAGGCTGTCTTCAGAGGTGGCTCCTGAAACGATGTAGCCTGGACATGGCCAGAAAGACGTCACCTTCTTTTTCCATCTGTGATTTTACTCTCCAGGAAAGTGGTGTCTCCCTGTTTTAGGGCAGCTTCCTTCTCAGGTCACGAGAGGGACCTAGAAAGAACAAGAACCATAGAGCCTGCCACAGGGCCCCATCCTGCTCTCCTGGGGAGAACAGTGCTGGGCTGCAGGGCTGCAGGGCTGCCTTGGCTGCAGGGCACAGGCACTAAAGAGCAGCAGGTGCAGGAGGGAGCCAAGGAAGAGAAGCAGAGGAAGACCTCCTCTCGCCCAGGTGGTGCTTGCCAAGCTCACACCTGATGGCGAGCCTAGCCGACCCCAGAGCAGCCAAGCAGGCTGGAGCAGGCAGAGCCCAGCCTCCCACTCACTTCTTCCTGCGGATCTTGGGCTTCTTCACAGGCCGCAGGTAGGGGTTGTCGATGACGCTCTCCTCCCCGCTCCGGCTGCCGGACAAGGAGGCGCTCTGCTGCAGGACAGAGGCATTCTCCTTCTCAGCTCCGGACTCATCCTTTGAGCAAAGCCAGAATAAAGCAGAACACCAGTGGCATGAGGAAAGAGACAGCACCCGAGAGAACCACCACCTTCGGTGTCTCTTTATTGAGACGTGAAAGACGGAGCACCGTCTTTCCAGTGTCACCGTCTCTGCCTGACGCAATGAGACCTGTGCAGTGGCTGGCTCTAAAGGGAAAAGCTGTGACCGTTGACAACATGAAAAACTCAGGGTCCTTGGCATCTTCAGATGCCAGGTAGGGACATAAAGAATGGAGACCTGGGAGTGAGGCTTACAACTTACATGCTTCACGGAGGAGGCCTAAGCCAAGGGAAGGATGAGAGGAAATGGCCATGGGTTTCATGCAGTAAGAGACACAGGGCCAGAACAATCAGTGCACAGATCTCTCTCCTAGGCCCAAACCAGCAAAGGTCTTAATACATTTCCCTAAATCTCTCACTTCTGGCACTTGGAACAAGGAACCAATGAGCATGTTTCAGCATATTCCAGAACCTCAAGTGAAGCTCAGCAAGGCAATGCTCAGGCCACAGACACCCACAGGTGCATACTGTCAATGATGCAAGAATCAAGTTCTTTACTGTTTTTAGCAAAGTTTGATTTAACAGCATGAATTTACATTTAAATATAGAAACTGTCCTGGAAGCATAGGTTATTGATTCTCCTTTCCTTATTAATATTTACACTCTCCTCTATTTTCCATATTCTTTGTTTTTAATTTTTATTTTTGTGCTTCAGCACGGCAGGCCATGAAATACAGCAAAAACCTGACATGGCTTCTGAGGCCTAGACCAGAAGCTGACTCGGCAGCGCCCCCTGGTGACACAAGAGGTCTCTGCCCCCAACCAGGAGTGGCTGCTGTCACTGTCATACTGTGACCAGGTAAGGTTCCTCTCAAGGGACAGTTAGCCTGAGGTACAAACACCAGTCTCTGGCTTACTCAGACTGAAGACTCTGAATGGCTACCAGGTTTTGCAGTACACCCATACCATCCCCTTAACTCTGCTCTCCCCGCAGAGCCCCTCTCCTGTAGAGGATTATGCTTGATTCCCTCCACACTAAACCCAGCCCCTGGAGAGTCTCTCTAAACAAGAGCCGTAGACCAACTACACCATGAAGGCCAGGTACGGGGAAGGTTGTGCATACACCCAGCTCCTGGCCTGACTGTTCTTAAGCGCCTAACAGATACCGCCTACCACCCCCAATCTACTTTCCTCCACATCCAAAGTTATTTGGGCCACTTCAGCTGTGCCTCAAACATGTTCTCAGGTACCAGGTGACAGTGAAGGGTTCCACAAATCAGGATGTTAGGTGTCCCTCTACCAAGGACAGCTGGTGGAAATCCTACTTTCTGGTCCCCTTCAAGCACAGGTAGCCCTGAGAGAGGAGGTGAAACATCCAAAGATTTGTAGAAAAGAATGAGGGGTTTGCTACAGCTCCTTGGGCCAGTGTGGAGCCCAGCCTTGGGCAAGGCTGAAGCACATCCACAACCCCTACCTGCCTCACGCTGTCCATTCTGCTTCCACGCCAAAGGCTCCAGGTCCGACTGCAACCTGTCCTCCCTCCCACCGCCGGTTCCCAGCTCAAATCCCCGACTGCTTGCTTGCCAGCTTCATATAAGCATCTGTACGCCCCCTCATGTTCAATGTGCCTCAGCTTTCCTTGGGTGTCCTACCCCCAGTCCTCCCACTGTAGGACAAAACTACCTCCTTCGGGTGCTTTGAGCCCATGAGTTCTGCAATTACACTTTCGTTTTTCTGCCACCAAACTCCCAGGTGTTAGGACAGCCTCCTGGCTTTACATTCAGACCATGTCCACTGCCTCCACTGTGACCACCCGAGGAGCACCCATACCTGTGTCTGGCCTACATTACTGTACAGCTTCCTAACAGAGCAGCATTCCCTCTCGGGCCCACTCTTACCATCGTGATGCTTCAGAAGTTCAGAAACATTCCGTCCCTGGCTCCACACCCTCCTGCAACTCTCCTCAGAGGCCAGCTCTTGAGACAGCTGGGCCCATCAGATTGGCCCTTCCTTTCTCTCCCCCGTCTCTCGGTCCCAACCATTAATGTTCCTCAGGCCCTCAGCAGCAGCCATTACTAAGTTCTACAAACCCTTTTCCACAGAAAGTGGCATGGCTCACCTCTCTCCTCCCCTTTGAGTCTCTCATTTGGTAGTCTAAATAACAAAGTCCAAAAAGCTATTGTTTTATTGGACTTTGTACAGAAGAATGTGGCTGTATAACCTCAAACAGTGGAGGGTACTGCAAGTTAGCTCGCGCTGCCTCAGGCTGGGCCTGCAAGTGCTATGCGCACTGCTGGAAACTCCACCTTGAGACACATGCAGGCTTTGGTCTCTTCAGGGGTTTACTCAAATGTCACCTTCTAATGCCTCCATCCCTTCCACAGGTCCATTTCTAACCTCTTCAGCTCCTTGAGGGTGGGTCTTTGCCTGTCTTGCCTTTTACTACTTCCTCAGCATCTCAATAGTGTGTGGATCTGGCAGAGCCCATTCAGTATTTGCTAAATAACTGACTCCCGAGGATGTGTCTCTCAGGATGGATATTGGTCACCGAGGCCCATCAAGCAAGTTTCTAACAGACAGCCAGAGACCTGAGGTATGCCCTGTTCAGTTCCCAGGAGCAGAGGCCTACTGTGAGATAGCCTGTTTTGGGAGCACTGTGGAGCTGGCAGAAGGGGAGAACCCACCGTGCTGATATGAAGAGCGATGTTCTCTGTGTCTGTCTGCTCATCCTGCTCTGAGGAGTCTGTCTCTTCCATCTGCTGTATCTCCAGCTCAGAGGGAAGCAAGGCTGTGAGGTAGGGGATGGTGAAAGGCCTGGCAGCAATCACTGGGAATTGGAAGAGAGACACGACTCTGTCGAGCAGCCAGAGAGCCAGGTTTGAATGCTGCCTAGTCATCATGACCTTGAGCTAGCTATTTCCCCTTTCCATAAGCCTCTGTGTTCTGCAAAGGAAAAGCTAGGAGATGCTAACTCACAGGTCTGGAAGGGCTGTAGGAGGTGACACATGGTGAACAGCTAGCTTCTGGTGACCTTTGGCCACATGACTACAGAACAGGCACACAGCAGGCACAAAATGGATGCTTACTGAGTGAGCGAGCCAGTCCCCCATCCAGCTTTGCATAGCCCAAGGTCCCTATGGAGAGGAGTGACCTGGTCAACAAAGCCTAATGAGATATGAGCCGTGAAAGGACACTGCAACATCTGGCTGCAGACGCCACTGTTCCTCCTGCCACCTGGGCCACCACTTCCACAGGGGGCTCTCTGCTCCCAGGGCTTAGCTACCTGTGAGGTGTGCCACTACTTGAGGGTCACCAGTTAGGGTCAGTCAGAGTCTTGGGGTATGGGGGAAGGAACCATAGATCTGAGGAATAAACTGCACTAGAGAAAAACACAAAGGTGTATGCATCTCTCCTCAGCACACTGAGAGAAAGGAATGAGGGTGTGATTATCTCAAACAAAACAGGGTACTCTGGGGGTGACTCTCACAAGGGAAAGTGCTGACGTCATCCTTGAAAAGACTCTGGGTCTCTCCTGTCTTGGCCATGAAGCGGGTGAGTGCTCGCTCCACGTCTCGCCTCTGAGATGCAGCTTTCTCTCGCAGGACCTGGTAGTCAGACACTGGCTCACGGTATGTCTAAAACGACAGAACACATCAGGCTGAGCCCACGCTGCCTTCAGCTCTCCCCAGGCCCTGTCTTGCTGCAGCTATGTCCTTGTGAGAACATGACCTACTAACTAACATTGGAGCAAAGCTATGTGAAGAGCAGCAGACAAAAGAAGACCACCTCAGGACACAGTCACTAAGAAAAATGCAGACAGTTACTACACAGCGGGCTGCGCCTTGGCTCAGTTCCTATGGCAGGCAGCCTGAGGGGTAAGACACATATCCTCAAGGAAGACTGGGAGCCCCCAAGGAGCTCCAGCAGGAGCCTCCGCCATCAGAGTAACTTGGCATCCTAGAGTGTGTGAGTGGGGTCCATGTGCTTTTGCAAAGTGTGCCATGCCCTTGTTTGAAATCCACCTTTTTCACACAGACACGCTGGTCCAAAAGATGCCTCTATGGACTTCGATCCATGGAGGTATATGCAGGCAGATCTGCTCTACGAAAGGAGGGAGGGAGGAGGAGGATGAAAGGCTGACTGAGGATGAGATGCTCACAGGTAAGGGCACTCTCCAAGCCTGACCTGCCTCAAAGGAAACACAGTTTCCTCAGTTTCTCCTCTGATCGCCACACATCTGTGAACAGCACACACACACTGTGGGTGAGTGCCCACCCACACAGATAAATGAAATAAACGTAATGTTTCAAGAAGGAAAGAAAAGCAGACTGAGGCTGTGTTTTAAGAACAGTCTTTTAAGAGGAGCCCAAGGCCAGCAGACTTCTCCAGTTATCGCCTTGATGGCCATCTCTGGGGAAATGCACAAGATCCAGTAAGAATAAGAAGGCCGTCAAAGTATATTAAACTGTAACAGCAGAAATGACAATTTAATACTGACCAACAAACAGGTCTTCAGGACAGAAAGGCAGGTTTTACATTTCTAACAATTTTTCAAGGGCTGGAGAGCTGGCTTAGCGGTTGAGAGCACTTGTTCTTGCAAAGGTCTGGGTTCCTTTCCCAACACCCACACGGAGGCTCCCCACTTCCCCAGGCACCAGCACACACAGCTGTACAGACAGTGCAGGGAAATCACTCATACACACAAAATAAAACTAATCTAAACAATACTAAAAAGAGAGGGAGGGGAAGGACAAAGAGAGAAGGAAACACTCATGTCCATGCAGGTGCCTGTGGAGGCCAGAGGGGATGGTAAATCCCCTGGAACTAGTTACCCTCAGCAGGGAACTGCCAACATGGGTGCTGGGAACTGATCTCTGCTCCTCTGGAAGAGCAGCAAGCACTCTTGAATGCTGACTCATCTCTCCAGCCCTATTTTTTCTTTTTCTTTTCCTTCCTTCCTTCCTTCCTTCCTTCCTTCCTTTCCTTCCTTCCTTCCTTCCTTCCTTCCTTCCTTCCTTCCTTCCTTTCTTTCTTTCTTTTTTTTGAGACAGTCTCCCTATGTAGCCCTTGTTGGTCTGGTACTTAAAAATCTTCCTGCCTCTGCCTCCCAAGTGCTGTGATTATAGGCATGTGCCATCATGCCTTGCCACATTTTTGGATATAAAATTTCAAACTAGGAAAACCATTAACGAATTAAAGTAAACTGTTCTTAAGAGCAGAACTGCACCAAGATTCCAGAAGAAAAAAAAACAACAAAAAAACAAAAACAGAGGCCATAGCAAGGCTCCCACTCAAAAGATCACAGGTTCCCTGAACTTTCAATAAGAGCGAGGTTAGCGTTTAATAGACACTATGTTGTCTAGGTTAAGCGCTCTGCTCATATAAATAAGCACCTTGATGCAGGCGTAGTGATGCACACTATGATTTCAGCACGGCAGAGGCAGAGGCAGAGGCAGAGGCAGAGGCAGAAGCAGAGGCAGAGGCAGAGGCAGAGGCAGAGGCAGAGGCAGAGGAGGACCCAGAGTCTCAGAGTCATCTTTAACTACACACTGAGTTAGAGGTTAACCTGAGCTGCCCGAGACTGTCTCGAACAACCAACACTAAAAGAAGGTTCTTTCCATTAGTTTCAGTGTAAGGATTCACTAACACACTATATAAAAGAGGTATTTACACTACTGATTGAATTGTTTTCCCACAGACATAGTGAACTCCTAACTCCGGCATCTCATATGACCACCAGAGACATCATCAATTAGAAAGAAGTCATGGAGAAAGGACAAATGCTGTCCTTATGAAAAAACAAATATGCATTTATTTATTTAATTTATTGGTTTTTATTTATTTTCTTTTATTTATTGGTTTTTCCAGACGTGGTTTCACTGTGTAAACTCATTTTGTAGACCAGGCTGGATTTGAACTCACAGAGATCCGCCTGTGTCTGCCTCCCAAGTGTGGGATCAAAGGCTTGCATCACTACTGCCCAGCAAATAACTTTTTTGTGGGGGCAAGGTATTTTAAACTATAGAGATAAAAAGCCAGCATCATGTGGGGACAGGAAGACTGGAGTGACACACCCATAGACCAAGAAATGCTGGCACACCCTCGGCTAGAGCAAGGCAACCAGAGACTCCCCCCGCAGAGTTAGAGGGAGGATGGCTCTGGTAGCACCTTGGTTTTGAACGTCTGCCCCTCAGAAGGTCATCTAGTTGGTAGCACTTTGCTACAGGATACTTCGAGACTGCAGCCCAGGGCAATGCTACAGCAATTCCTTTCCTGATTCCTGCGCTGTGGGGAGGCACCTCTCAAGCCCATCCCACAGTTCGCACCAACACTCCTGGTTGAAGGAAATGTGGGAAGTTGTGTCTGTGGAGACAGTGGCGCACCAGAGAGGGGGCGAATGTGCCAGCCAAGCACCCAAAGCATAGCACGAGTACATTCCAGTCAGTTCTTTATCACATTCGATAACCTGTGTGTTTAACTAACTTTCTCCTGGCTCAAAAATGACTTTTGTGAAATGACAAATTTGGAAAATCCAGAAAAGTATATGCATGACTTCCACAGCACCCAGTAACCTCACCAAGAATCACTACAAACAAATGGAACAGCCTCCCAGTTTTGTTCTGTGTGGCTAAGGAGCTCTGTGCTGGGTGGGAGAGGCCATGTCTTATTAACTGTGTTTCTAGTGGCAAATTTAAAATCATAATTCTTGGGGCTGGAGAGATGGCAGTTAAGAGCGCTGGCTGTACTTTCAGGACCTCAACTCAATTCCCAGCACCCACATCCAATCCCAGGGGATCCAATGCCCTCTTCTGGCCTTTGTGGGCATCAGGTACACATGTACACAAAACAACCATACATATATAATCTTTTTTTAAAAAAATCAGAACTCTTAGCTGCCAGACGGCTTTACTTGGTGCCCCTCCCCCCTCTGTCTCTCTTTATAAGACAGCATCCCGCTCTGAAGCCCAGGCTGGCCTCAAATGGCAACACTTCTGCCTTCCAAGTCCTGGGACAACAGGGGTGAGGCCACATGCCCCATAACAAGACTGCTTGTCTGTAGATAAGCCATGGTGAGAGCTGAATGGTGCTTTCACCTGCAACCCTCACCAACTGTGTTTTACACAATGCACAACTCTTGGGTGGCTCTGCCACTCACCGGAGTTTTGATGTAGGTGTGGGGATCCGGAAACTCGGGAAAATGGCTGGGGATGTGTGGTGGGTGGGGTCGGTTCTGCCCTGCAGTGAGGGCCTTTGGAGTCACTGGCTGGCTGGTTACTGGAGCTGCAACAGAATCACAGCTGGTTACTTCTCCAACCCCTGCTGTCTCTTGGTCAAATCCCTACTTCTCACTGGGCCACAACTAAGCACCTTATATTTCTATTGAGAAAAGCCCTTCCGTAACCTTTCCAGATCAGCACACAGTACCTTGTCCTGCCAGGTAATCTTGCTTGGTATTTCGATGTGTGACACTCTTGCATCAACAGAGGAGTGACTATCACCAAAGCCACTACATAAAAGAACATAATGAGGGGCTGGAGAGATGGCTCAGTGGTTCAGAGCAGTATAACTGGTCTTCCAGAGGCCATGAGTTCAATTCCCAGCACCCACATGGTAGCTCATAATCATCTATAATGGGCATTGCTCCCCTCCTCTGGCATACAGACTGAACACTCAAACATAACAAATGTTAAGAAAAAAAAAAAAAAATTAACCAGGACAGACAGTGAGATTCTGAGCTCAGCAACTTATTAAAAAAGAAAAAAACATGCTGAAGTGCATTAAGGGCAGTGCATGGGCTGCTGGCTGGCTTTCCAGAGGCTACGAGGGTCCTAAGAGCAGTGCTCAGGGGTGCAGTATATGCTCAGCATGCAGGAGGCCCTGGGTCCAATACCCAGTACACACACACTGTTTAGAGGCCCCAAATGCCAAATACCGAGTCGGGCCAAGCGTGGGCTTAACAACTGCAAGAGAGGAAAGAAAATGGCTTTCCACCGCTTCTCTCCACTGCAGGGGCAAGATGGCTCAGGGGGAAAGGTGCTTGCCACCAATCTCCAGAACCCACCATGTGAAGGGAGACTGCCCACAGAGCTGTCCTCTGACCTCCACCTGCACGGCACGCCATGTGCATGCACAGAGACAATAAACAGATGCCATGTCTACAACACGCCAATGCAATAAAGTGACTTCAAGAAACAAGTAGAGCACCTTCTCCCAAGTCCTAAAGGCTGAGGCAGTTACTCCATACTTAGCATAAGGAACCCACTTTCATCTAAAGCAGAGTTAAACTTTTTCAGGAAAGAATACATAATACTTTTTTACTTCTTTTGCATGCTTGTTTTTTGAGCCAGTCTCGCCTATATACCTGAGGCTAGCCTAGACCTCACTATGGAGTCCACAGTACACTAGAACTCTAAAGCAACCCCCCCCCCAAAAAAAAACACACAAGTGCTAGGATTACAGGTGTAGCCACCAAACAGTAGCAGTTCAGATTATGCAAGCCACAAAACTCTGCCTTTATAACATGAAAGCAATCATAGACGATAAGTAAGTAGGGCTACATGCCAATAAGATATAATTTACAAAAGCAACCAGGGCCTGGCGACATGGCTTAGTGGTTAAGAGCACTGTCCACTCTTCCAGAGGTCCTGAGTTCAATTCCAGCAACCACATGGTGGCTCCCAACCATCTATACCGGGATCTGATGCCCTCTTCTGGCGTGCAGGTGTACATGCAGATACAGCACTCATGTATGTAAAATAAATAAACCTTTAAAAAACAAAACCAAACCAAAAACAAGCAGTGGGCCATATTTTGCCCAGACCACAGAGTTTGCCAACCCTAATCTAGAAACCAAGATCTTTCATAGTGTCCTAGGGCCATGATTTGCTCTTCCAGGACTGAAGTAAAACCTCAGCAGCTCTGACATGGTTCAGCTTCACAGTCTAACCCCATTGCCCAGACAAAATCAGGCAGTGGATAGCTAACCGCCCCCAAAACTGGAAGGAGACTACAAACAAGGGCACAGCTAGCACTCTCCTGCCTGCCCTCTCCTCCCACTGAGTACTTAGAAGCACACTTACGTGCAGTGATGACCATCCTCTGAGACCGTTTTGCATAAGCAGGGAGAGTGTCCACGTTAAACCCTAGGAACAAGAAAACCAACCATTGCCTAGGCCCAGGCCACAGGATACTGGACCGGAACAGAGGAATTAACGGTGTGGAAAGGGGGCTTAAACTCCCAACTCAGCCCTATTCTGCCCCTCAAAAGAAACTCCAGCAGAATTCCCCAACAAGGACTTAGGAGGTCTCTGAGATGGGTTCAAATAATTCCTTCATCATAACTTTCTAAACTACAGGCAGCTCAGGGAATCCAAGAATACTCAGACATCCCTACCCCCAGGCTTTCCTCCCTCCCTGGCGATCCTGAGAGATGAGAGAGCACTAGAAACTAAAGACACACTCACCCATTTCAACCAGTGTGACCACGATGTCCGACAGTGTGGGCTGGGTCCTGGCTGTGTGCTCGCAGTAAGACTTGGCACTTCTCCCAATTTCCGAGATGTCTACAAGGGTCAAAGGCCAGAGTTCCTCCAAAGTTCAACATAAGATTACCAGGTGAGCCACCAGTTCTCATCGATATATACTACCAAAGGTGCAAAGGCAGGGCTCAAACAGACACTTGTGCACACACACACTGCAGCACAAATTCACAACCATCAAAAAGATGGGAGGAATCTATCCACTGGGGTGAACACAGACGATGGAGTGTTTCTGCTTGCTAGCTTTGAGGTTCTCATAGAGCCTCAAACTTATGTGTAGCAGATACTAGACTTGAACTCCTGATAATCCTGCCTCCATCTCCCAGGGGCTAGGATTATGGTGTGCCCACCATACCCAGCTACACAATGGAGAATGTATTCAGCCTTCAAAAGGAGGGAAATCCTTCAAATGGAGAATTTTAACATAAAACATTATGTTAAATAAAATAAACCAGGCACAGAAAGACAAATGTTTTCAGATTCCATTTATCTGAAGTACAGCGAAAAAACAAATGAAAAGCAAATTCAGAGCCAGTGAGATGCTCAGTGGGAAATCTGCTTGTTGCCAATGACCTGAATGCTATCCCTGGAACTCAATGGCAGAAGGAGTAAACTGAGTCCCACAAGTTATCCTCTGACCTCCATGTGTATACAGGCCTACATGGCACGCATGCGGTCTCTATCACACAAGTAAGTAAATAAGAGTTGTTTTTAAAAAGAGGTATGTTGTATAAAAAATAATAAAGCTGAATGAAGTGTAATTAATAATAATAATAAAAAATAATAAAGCAAATTCAAAGATGGAAAGTAGACAAAAGTTCTTGGGGCTAGGGAGAAGACAAAATAGTTTTGTTCAGGGTACAGGGTTTCTGGGCACGGGTAATGCCGAGGGCTGCACTACACCGTGAGTGTGCACTGACTGCCGCTGCAAATGATTACAATGATAACGCCGCTGCATGTTTCTCTCCCGCACATACAAACATCAAAACAAGCAGCTTTACTCTCCAATGGACAATTTTTGTCTCTTCTGCCTGAAGCTGAGTCTCCAGCATCTTCCAAGAAAAAGGGAACAATATCTGAGACAGAGTTCATGGAGCTGCGCTCGGGAAAGAGGAAAGAAGGCCTAGTGTTTCCTGGTACTCACAGCTCTGCAGCATCTCTGTCAAGGTTTCCACAGACGCTTTCTCAGCGCTCTCAAATCCCGCCTCTGTCAGCAAGGAGCTCACAACAACTTGCAGAGTTCTCCTCCGGGCCAGATGGTAGTTATCAGCAGGGTTGGTGGACTGTTTACTCCCTGATCTCTGAAAACCAGAAGCCCAGAGAGAGGAGACTGTTAACCCCTAGACAAGGATAAAACCGCAGAGTCCATCAAGGGCGAACAAAAATGTCCTGTTTCTTCTTCTTTCTATTTCCTGAGACAGCATCTCATTTGGTAGTTCGCTCAGGCTGGCCGAATGCTAGGTATGTAGCCTAGGCTGAAACTCAAACTTGTTCCTTCTTCCACCCAAGCACACGAATTACAGGTGTGTACCAACTTTTGCTAGCAAAAGTTCTCTTCTGCTAAATATTTATCAGTGTTTAATACTTAAGACTTACAGATCTTACCAAATGAGTAATTGACCATCCAAATGCAGATGTTTATAGGATAAACATTAACCTGCTAAAAAACAAACAAACAACGTGTACGTGCGTGTTGTGTGTGTACGTGTATTTCTGTGAATGCAGGTGCCTCCGGGGGCCTAGAGAGGGCGTCGGATTCCGTGAAGCTGGAGTTACAGGTGGTTGTGAGCCACTCCACCAAACTCGGGTCCTCTGGAAAATCAGCAGTCGGTCTCAACCACTAAGCCATCTCTACAGCCCCTAATGTTCTGCAGCAAATTATCCGAATTACGAGGTAGGGCGGTAGTGGGCACGCCTTTAATCCCAGCACTAGGGAGGCGGAGGCAGGCGGAAGTGAAGGAAAGAAGGAAAGGGAAAGACAGAGAGAAAGTGGAGGGAGAGAAAGACAGAGGGAGGGAGGGAGGTGAAAAGAGAGAAAATATATACACGAAATGCTGTGATTGAACGAGTAAATCTTACTGTCTTCTTGTTCCATCTCCACACCATTTCATTAACAACAACAAAAATAGATAGATAGATAGATAGATAGATAGATAGATAGATAGATAGATAGATAGATAGATAGATAGAACAGAAACCCCAGACGCAGAGAAGAGGAGAGATAGAAGTAACCTCAAAGACAAGGAAGGTAAGTATTTTGAAAAGCGACTCCCAATTGTGGCTGGCCAGTAAGGGGATGAAAACAGCCTCTTCAGACCAATCAGAAAGTGTTCCGGGTTCCCACCCTCAATACGGAACAAGCCAATCATGTCTCAGGTGTACCAATTTAGGAGGCCGTCGCCGAGTCCCTAGCAGCTGGGAGTGCGTTCGGCTAGAAGCACTCTCCAGCCTCCGGCTCCCAGAGCGGGCCTGGAATTCTCGGTACGAGACTGTGGCCCAGAACATGGTAAAGATCCGTAAGGCCGAAACTCCTTCGGCTTTATGCCGGGGCGCTCCAGCCTTACCGTTCCAGAGCCACCAGGTCCGGCCGCCGTGTCAGCCATCTTGCTCTCGCGTAGAGCGCGTGAGCGCGGGGCACGATGGGACTTGTAGTTGTGGAGTGGGGAGGGCGGGGCCTCAGGTGCCCCGCCTCATTGTAAAGCTCAGAAAATGGGAGGGGGTGGAGAGAGGCGAAGTAGGTCGGAAGACCCCAGCTCACTGGACTTTGTGTGAGCCACGCTTTTGTGGGCCTTTCAGCCGCTGTGGCAATGGATCTGCAAAACGCTCTGACTGCGTTAAGAGGAACCTATTTTGTGCGGGGCGGTGGTCATCCCAGCAGTCGCCGAGGCAGAGGCAAGTGATCTCTGTGAGTTCGAGGCCAGCCTGGTCTACAGGGCGAGTTCCAGGACAGCTAGGGCTACCCCGAGAAACCCTGTCTCAAGAAAACAAACAAACCAAAAGGAAAAGTATTTTTGGCGAGGAGCCAGCTGTCTATAACCCCAGTACTTTGAGTCTGAGGCTAGAGGATTTGTAGTTCCAGGCTAGCTTGGGCTATGTAATGAGTTAAAGGCCAGCCTGGATCTATGTAAGGAGACCTTTGCTGTCAGAAAAAAAAAAAAAAGTAAAAAATAAAAACAAAGCCATTGCTATAAAATAATTTCTCAGAAAGAACACACTTAAGAACGCACTTTGTGCAGACTGGAGAGATGGCTCAACTGTTAAGAGCACTGGCTGCACCGCCAGAGGGATCCCGGTTCAGTTCCCAGTCCGCAACTGTCTGCTACTCCTGTTCCAGGGAATCTGTCAGCCCAGCTCCAGTGATCTCATTAGTTGTTTTGTTTTGTGTGAGAGCCTGTGTTTCATGAGCCCAGGCAGCTCTCTAACCTGCTATGTAGCTGAGGATGAGCTTGAACATTGCGGTGGTTTGAATATCAGTGGCCCTCATAGGCTCATCTATTTGAATGCATAGTCACCAGGGTGCCGAGCTATTTGAGAAGGATTAGGAGGTATGGTCTTGTTAGAAGAGGTGTGTCACTGGGGGTGGCCTTGGAGGTTCAAAAGCCCATGCCAGGTCCAGTCCCGTCCCATCCGTCCTCACCCCTGCAGATCAGGATATAGCTAGCATAGGGTTCTTGGCTACTATTTCAGGGTCATGCTTGCCAGCGTGGTGGTTAAGTAATCTGCCAACAGCCCATACCAGGACCCAGGCTTTAGTCTTATTATCAAGCTCCTTGGGTGATTCTTCTGCACTGTTGCCTCTAGCCCTCAGCCTGCAAGTGTTTGCTAAATGGGCAAGAGAGTTCGTCCTTTGTCCCTCTCCTTGCCGTCAGCTTCTCTAGACTGGAAATTCTTAAGTAGAGACCTCGCTTCTCCTTATCCGACCTGATCTGGGGCAGGAGGAGGTTGGTTCGCAGCTGGCCAGACACTTATTAGACTTGTTAGCCCTCAGACTCTGGCCACCTTAACTAGGCTCACCGTGCCTCAGTTTCCCCCACGTGGTAACTGGGGACTAGGGGGAATGACAGGGTTGAGACAGCAGGTGTCCCAGTGCCTGGTTCTGCGGCAAGAGCTAAGAACTCTCAGGCTTACTGTTTGCTTCCTAGGCAGCATGTGCAGGAGTTAGAGATGCCGGGAAGGCATCCCTCTGGAGTTTGCACACCTGAGTCTGTCGGAGGCGCTCCCCACCCCACCCCACCCCGCCGCCCCCAACACACAACCCCACCACCCGGGACTGACGATCAGGGTCTGTAGACCCCGCGGTGGAGTAGAGTTCAGAGATGGATGAGTCTCCTCCTGGCTGCTGCCCTGGGGGTGTCAGAGACCGGACCCTGGCAGAGCCCAGCACCCAGCTCTTTTGTCTCGCCCGCCCCCAAGTCCCCACTTCCTGCCCCGCTTCCAGCTCGCGATCTGCGATGCAGCGCGGACTTTGTAAACACGCCGCCGCGCCTGTGGGGGCGGACATTCGCTCTGTTTGGGTGCCCGAGAGACGGAGTGCATGCCCCTGCCCGGTCCGCGGCTGGCGGTTGTAATCACCCCTGCCACCCCAAAACAGATGTCCCGCAGCGGGAGAGAACGTGAGGCCACCCTCCGAGCTCGGGGGGGCACATCTGCCAAGAGGTAGGCTTGTGGGCTGGGGAAGCCAGAACACGGGTGATGTCAGCATCGCTAGCTTGGACTAGGATGTTACCTGGAGTCCAGACTGGAGCTCTGGAGGTGGAGAGAGCGGGCGGGTGGGTTCAGCGGGTCATCGCGCCTCCCTCACCTCGGTTTTGGCCCCAGCAGCTTAGCTTACTTTTGCCACGGAATATGGTGTTTTGACCAGAGCCGAGGGTCAGAGAAGCCCCCAAAGGTGCACGTCCTCCTCACAGCCTCCCTCCGGGCTGAAGTGCAAGGTTTAGCTGCATGGATCAGCCTGGGGCGATTGGAGGGCTGACCGCACGCGCGGCTGGAGAGGCATTTGAGCCGGCCAGAGCGAGGCTAAAGAACAGAACTGTCCCGAAGGTGAAGGTCATGGGGAGTGTCTGGTGTGCACCAGGTCTCGGGCAGAGCAGTAACTGAAGGAGTGGGCTGCTGTTGTAAGGAAGCAGTTACTCCTTTGCACCTACTGTGTGCTTGGTCTTGTTTCCGATGCCCAGTATGCTAGTGTCAGCCACAGCTAGTGTCTAGGGCAGAGATTAACGGGTGGACTTCCGACTGGGAAGTCTGGGAAGGGGTCGTTTGGGTTGGCTTCCAGAAGATAGCTTTAGACCTTGGAGAAAATGAGATGGGGCGTCTTTGGGATACCGTTTCCCCACAGGTGGTGTTATTGGGCACTGGGACATACTGGGAAAGTGTCTGCCCGTTCCACTCACTCCCAGGCATAGGGAAGTAGGAATTAACAGCAGCAATTCTGGGAAGGACGAGCCGCAGAGCTGGGCTCCCGGGACTGCCGATTGGATGCAGCTGGGAGGGCCCAGCACGGCATCCTGGACACCTTCCCCTCATCCTGGGCCCCGGAACTGTTTTCTCCAGCAAGCCCTATCCTCTGCCCTTCACCACCATGTCCTCTGGGACCAGTCCCTGGTGGAGAAGTAGCTCTTTGGCGTTCTGGCACTCCCTAGCACAGCAGGCTATGACATTTAATGCGTTTTCTTGGGGCCACACTCTGCCAACGTTGGGGACATCATAGACTAAAATCAGAGCTTCCAGTCATAGAGACTGGAAATGGAAAGCGTCTCTGGTCGTTCCATCAGTCTGTGCTAATTCTCGAACCCATGGCCGTGGCCTCCATGGCTTCAACCCTTTTCCTTGTGTGTTTCTCTTCCTAAGGATTTGGGATGCGAGCATGGAGTTAACATGCGCCATCAATGTAAACGGTTAGATGTGGCGTTTCCTTTACCACCTCTAGGAGCTGTATTAAAGCATCAAGTCGCATTAGCTCAGTTCTACAGGTGAGGAAACTTGAGCACAGGAAGTACAGAGATCTCCTTAAGGAGGGAACAGGAAATGATTGTTAGGGAGCTGGAGAGATGGCTTGACAGTCCACAGCACTTAATGCTTTTGCAGAGGACCCAGGTTCGGCTTCCAGCGCACACGTGGCGCCTCTCAACTTCCTATTTTCAGGGGTTCTGATGCCCTCTTTTGGTCTCTTCAGGCACCAGGCACGAACATGGTACATATGCATACATTCAGGCAAACTCATACACATAAACAACAACAACAAAAAAATCTCTTTTAAAAAATAAAGAAAATGATGTCACAGATGGACTTTAAATTCGAGTCACTTGACTTGAGAGACAGGTCCTTTTTTAACTTGAGACAAGGTCTTGCTTTTAGCTCAGGCTAGCCTCGAACTCCCAGTCCTGAGTCAGTTCCCTAGCCTGTGCTAGGTTTATGGGTACCTATCATCACATCCAGGTCAGAGTGCCTGCTCTTAACTACTGAGTCAGTTTACCTCTTTAACCACATAGGATGTGCAATTGAGCTAGGTGCTGTCTACACTGAGCCTGTGGTCTTGCGTAGTCCTGGGTCTCATGTGATGTAGCAGGTGTGACTGACCTAAGGCAGGTCTCTCTCTTTTTTTCTTTTTTCTTTTTTTTTTTTTGTAGAAGACCCTGGATGCTAGTACTGTTTACAGTGAGTCCCCTAAAGGACCGCTCAGGAGTGTGGGGACAGCACAGCACAGAGATAGTGTCCCTTCTCCCGTGGATGTGGGTGTTCACAGTGATGTCACACTTCTTTAGTCCCAGCACCTGGGGGGGGGGGGGGAAGGGTGAGCAGATTTCTGTGCATTGGCTGCCAGCCAGGGTGTACATAATGAGTTCCAAGCCGGCCAGCGCCACATAGAGAGACCCTGCCTCAAACACACCAAGATGTTTTTATTTTATGTGTACGGCTGTTTTGTCTGCATTTATGTCTGTGTACCACGTGTGTGCCTGGTGCCCACAGAAGCCAGAAGAGGGTGCTGGATCCCCCCAGAACTGGAGTGTAGACTGCTGTGACCTGGCATGTAGGTGCTGGGAGTCAAATCTGGGTCCTTGGAGGAGCAACACCTCGAAAGTGCTCTCTGCCAGCGAGCTTTCTCTGCAGCCCTCACTTTTTGAGATGGAATTTCTCACTGAATCTGGAACTTGCCATTGGGCTAGGCTGGCTAGCCAGGAAGCCTTTGCCCTGGAATCTACCTGTCTCTCTTCCTACCCCCTTGCTGTGCTTGGCTTACAGATACATGCAGCTTTTTCATGACTGCTTAGGATCTGAACTCCAGTCTTCATGCAAAAGCAGCCATGTCCTCGATCCTGCTTGTCCCTTGAGTCATGTCTCATAACCCTGAAACTATGTAGCTGAGGAGGACTTTGGACTTCTAGTCTCTCCTGCTGGCTTTACCTTTGAAGAGCGCCAGGATTATAGGCATGCCCTACCACACATGCTCTGTCCTGTGCACATTCAAGCTTGCACCCCACACCCTATATCTCAAGAAGAACATTCCAGCTTGGCATCAGATTAACAGGATGGTATAGAAATGGGAGAAGCCAAAGGTGCTGTCCCCTGGAATCCCTTGTGTCTTTTCAGGAAAAGCAGCGCCCGTGTGTCAGCCCCACTTCCTGCAGCTTGGAACATTGCTCGTGACATGAGCCCCTCTGCAGGGCAGCCTCCCTGAATCCTAGCTATGTCCTCTGCCTCCTCTCTGAAACTCAGTTTCTCCAAGGAACCCTGCACCAGACTTCGGGATGCCCAGGGCAGGTCTCTTGTGCCCAATACGATCAAAACCAAATTTATGATCCCAGCACCCAGGAGGTAGAGACAGTCCAATGTCTGTGATCTGAGTTCGAGGACAGCCTGGTCTGTGTAGTGAGACCCTGCCTTAAAAAAGACCAATTTATGGGGCTGGAGAGATGGCTCAGAGGTTGAGAGCACTGGCTGCTCTTCCAGAGGCCCCTGGTCCAGTTCCTGACGGCCACATGGTGGCTCACAGTGTCTGTAACCTTTGGTCCCTGCCACATGTGCACGTGGTTCGCAAACATACATGCAGGCATACCCCACACGCATAAAATAAGTAAACTTATTAAAACAAACAAAAGCTACTAAGCGCTGATCCCAAGAAGGGCTGAGTGTTGAGATGGGTGTTGATGCAGGGGGTGGAGGGCGAGGGAGTGGAACTTAGAGAATGAAAACAGAGGCTCCTCTGCCCACTCCCACCCCTTCCTCCCTGTTGCGAGTGTGGGGTGCTGTGGAACCCTGGGCCCGTCCCCTGTCCTCCGCCCTCACGGGTTGAGGAAGAACAGGCTGTACCCTTGAAAAACCGCAAGAGGAAGCTTGGGGCTGCTTGTGGGTGGGGAAAGTTCTCGGACCTCTGCCAAGTTTCCCTTTCCCTGCTGAGCGGTAGGTGTGTTTATCTTGCCCACTGAGACTTTTAAACTTTAAATCCTCTGAGTTTCAAAAGAGCTGTCAATTCCTGTCCTGGTCCTGGTGCTGGCCCCGGGACAGCCTTGCTGTGATCAGATTGGAGTCTGTGTTTGGTAGTCTCTTTGTATCAGCCCCCTACTTTGTCCCCAGAGCACCCCTAGAACCTTTCAGCTCCGGGGAATGTGGCTGCATAGTATTCCTAGGGCCTCCTGAGTGTTTCTCTTCCTTGATTTGCACCATAATTCTAGGTAGTGCAAATCTCTCTCCAGTTTATCGGTGAGGAAATCAGAGTTCAGAGAGGCTTAGGAACTTGCCAGAGTCCCACAGATAGTAAGTGGTAGAGTTCGGAGGTGAAGGTGGATCTGTCTCAATTCGAAGGTTGTGCTTTTTATTTTCAGCAACAGAAGTTGTGATCTAGCCAGGTGGCACACACCTGTAATCCCAATGCTCGGGAGGCAGAGGCAGAGACAGGCGGATCTCTGTGAGTTCGAGGCCAGCCTGGTCTACAAAGTAAGTCCAGGACAGCCAAGGCTACACAGAGAAACCCTGTCTTAAAAAAACAAAAACAAAACAAAAAATATAGAGATATAAAAGATATTTTTGTATTTAAATATTGCTGCTGGGACTTGAGATGCCTCAGTGGTTAAGAGCACTAATTGCTCTTCTAGAGGACCTGGGTTCAACTCCCAGCACCCCCATAGCAGCTGCACATGCAGGCAAAACACCATAAATGTTAAATAAAATATATTAACTATAGTAAAACTAATGTTGCAGCTGGGTGTGGTCCCAGCAGAAGCAGGCGATCTCTGTGCATCTACATCACTCCAGGACAGCCAGGGCTGTGTAGAGAGACCATGTCTCAGAAACAACAACAGAAAAGCACAGGCTGTTCTTCCGGAAGACCCATGTTTGAATCCCAGCCCTCAAAAGGCAACTCAGAACTATCTGTAGCTGCCGTTCCAGGGGATCCGATGCCCTTTTCTTAATGTCCACACGTGTTGATGGAGCTCTTTTTCTCTGCCAATTAAAAAATTAAATAGAAGGGAACGCCCACCACAGGTAGCGTCGGAGAAATCACAGACACCACCAGCACACATCAGCAGACAGAATCGACAGATGAGGAAAGCCATTCGTTGGGAATGAGGAAGCCCACAGCTTAGACAGGTGGAGAGAGACCCCTGCATAGCAGAGTGGGGACTCAGAAAGCCAAGAAATCCAGGCTCTTTTCTAGGGCT